TTAATGTGGTTGCGGACTCACTCGGCTGCGCCTCGTGAGTCTACAATATTTTGACCACTGTGATGACGCGTACTCGTTGTCGATAAGAAAACAAAGCACATTAAACCACACTCGATTGGTTACTTTTAATTTAACACGCATGTTCACTTGCTGAGAGCAAAGTAAAGATTATGTTGCTACTCGATTAGATCTAAACCTTTAAGTGTGTTTTACTCAGTCGTCTAATGTTTTGAAGTGTGCGCACGAGAGTTATTCACTGGGATTCTACGCAACAAGTGTAACAGATCTGTTCGTCACAAAAGTATGATGTGACAGTCACGCAAACTATTGATTTATTCCCCATTTAGCTGTCACGTGCCCGACGTTACCATTACCAGCCAACAGTAAGCTATTGGGCTGTAGTACAACAGAGATGTTATATGGCACCGTATGCAGGTTTTCTTGTAATGATGGATTTGAAGCGAAAGGTTCAGTGGTTAGAAGATGTACAGAAAATGGAACTTGGAGTGGAACCGACCTTGTCTGCACAGGTAATTATTACTGTCTGGTAATTACTGCTTATTCAACGTTTTCAAGAGGTGGTCTATAACAAACTATGATTGGTTAGTTTGCTACTAGCTGCTGCAAAATTTTGGTGATATAACTCGCGCCCTGATTGGCTAGTCCGGTCGTTTTACAACAGGCTTTGTAAATATCGTCGTATACTTCGCGCTAAATTAGTTTTAGACCAAAAAAATATATAAGAAACGGTTGAGCGCGTGTTTTTCACAAAAAGTGATCCAAACACTGGAGAAAGCTTGGGTGAATTCGAGTTTGAACGTGAAGTAACTAGGATATATCGGGATTCATAGAATAACGCATTATCCTTTGATGAACGCCGGTTTACCGTACACTACAAGCCAACCGTGTTTTTGCTTCGTCCGTTGAGAGGATAAGGGCTACGCGCTAGATGGCGAGAAGTGCTGATCACATAGACGTGCATAAGCTTATCAAATGTTCATTTCGCTGCTTGACTGCCTAAAGTTCTGGTTCCGATCAAAGTATATCAAAAATTCAAAGTTATGTGTGCAATCAGAAAATCTATACGACTTTCCGCTTATGCATGGTTGGCACACAAGTCCTTTTGGCCATCTTAGATCGTTAATCGATACAAGATCTCCAATTGATCTCTTTCGCCACCATTCAAGATTGCTATTCGATCTTAAATTGTGGAGTGTTATTTCTTAACTGCTGTCGGTGACGAGTGATCTTACGCATCAAGGTAGAGATGCATGGATCAATCGATACACGATCGTAGAATATGTCGATGTGATCAAATCCATGGAGATCTTTCTTACATCAAGGACCCCATGTGAAGGCCCTTGTGTAAGGAAGGGTTTCTTTTTTTAAGGCACCTATATAAAGGCCTTTGAATATACTGAATTAAAGTCCTTATATAAAGACTTTAGTACACACTCTAATAAATCTCCTTATACAAAAGTATTTGTGCAAAGCTCCTTGTATAAGGTTAACTGTGCCAAGGCCCTTGTTTGATGGTCCTTGTATACAGTCATTGCTAGAGGGCCTAGTATCAAGGCCCTTGTATACAGGTCCTTATACTAAAACGTAATTGTATAAATTGCTTTCTTTTGAGGTCCTTAAGTAAATCCATTATATTAATGCTGATGTTGAATATTTTAAGGTATTTGCGGTGCCGTCGAGGCCCAAGGAGCATCTGTTTGAAAAAGGACGCCTTTTCGACCGACAGAGACGCTTGAGTCCAAGATCAATTGAGTAAAACACGCTTTGAGCCCCATGCGTCAAAATCCTTACTAGTCTAAGCATATGAGCTATGCACTAATTAATTGGAATAATTTTTCCTCTTCTCATGACCTGTATTCTGAAAAATATCTTTTCATACGATAGTGATCAACTCGACAACAAGATCTTTGATGTACATAATACAATAGTAATACAGTAATTTAGGTTTTGTGTAGGTAGTTTAATAAGTGTTATAGAAATCGGTTGTTTTCAATATGAGACTAGAGGCTAAATACACGGTTGGGTTTTGGAGTTAGCTCCAGGCTTTTCATGCTTATCCCTTTCCATGTTGGTACAATGTAATGAGAAATACAGTGTTGATTACCCTTAGGTTGGGGCTTAGGGTGGAGGGGAGAGGGGTGGTCAAGGAATCATGTAAGGGTAGAACGTAGGTGCTAGACTTCTACTGGCGAAGGTAAATGGTAACCCTGTGAAGATAACTAGGCTGTGATCAAGATAAGTCGTAAACCTGTGATCAAGATAAGTGGTAACCCTGTGATCAAGATAAGTGGTAATCTTGTTGTCAAGGTAAGTGGTAAAACTGTGATCAAGGTAAGTGGTAAAACTGTAATCAAGGTAAGTGGTGATCCTGTGATCAAGATAAGTCGTTAACCTGTTATCAAAGTAAGTGGTAAACCTGTCATCAAGATATGTGGTAAGCCTGTTATCAATGTTATTGGTGTAAGGTAAGATCAGCAATTCATCAGTCATGCAGCTTATTCTTTTAAAGAACAACAGACTCAGCATCTGATAAAAAGCAAACCTATTGCAGTCTTGAGTTAGTTTTCAACGAAGGAGGCAGTTTAATGAGTAATACAATCTATAAAACCCAAAAGCTACAAGCGGGTGCTTTGACAAGCTGTTTATTTTACTTTTCCAGCTACAAATAACAAATAACTGTTTACAATCTTGCACATGCTAATAATGTATTCTTCTGTTTACTTTGTGTTTACTTCCAGTTCTTCTTCATGATGCTACTCAGGCTCGTTTTCAGGTTTTTCAGCAGGGCCTGCGCTCTTGGGGTCCCTCCTCCGGGAGACGTTCCAGCACTCGCTCCTATGTCCCCGATGACGTAAGCGAAAACGTCAACACACACCCTGCCCTGGTTATCGCTTTCGGACCAGTTCTTCAAGTCTTCGCCGAACCAGACCCTAAGCTCCATATATGGATGCAGATACAGCAGGTAGTCAAAGTTGGAGAAGACC